TTTCTTCCCGGCCCTCCACCGCCAACCCACCAATCCACTACGCAGCGCACGGCCTTGAGCCCCTCGTCTCTGCCGCTCTTTGCACGCCCACACCGGATCATCGCGCGCAAGCTGTCGAGCGCCGCAGTGTTGTGTATTGGGCTCGCTTGGACGAGGAGCGTGAGCGCATTAAGCCTGTCAGAGAGCGTACCGGTCGCGAGCGTAGTCTTGATGAAATGCATGTCAGATGCGGACTGCGCGCGAAGCGAGGGAGGCAAGCTGGGGAGAGGAGCCAGTGGGAAGGTCTGCCTTGGGCTCGAGGGGAGGCACTGCGGTATACCATGTCGGGGCGGGCGGGAACGTGAATTGAGGAGTCATCGTGACTGAGTCCGACACCGAGTATGGGGTCGACATTGAGCACAGTGTCGAGAAGGATGAGCATGAGCTCGGCACCCGCCAAAAATCTGGCCGACAACTGTCGATCACCGGCGCCTGTTTAAGTCGTGGTCGGTCCTCTCCGAGCTGCTGAGTGCTAAACATCTCTATAATCAAAGCTCCTCCCGCCGTCGAAGCATAACACTCCGAGCCACCCTTGGACGCTTGCGCATATAAACATACATGTCCCTATTCCTTCGCCGTGTTCCTCCCCCCTCGCCCGCCGCGTCTGCGCATCATCTAAGCACTAAACACGCGACGCAGACCCAGGCCACCCTGCACCTTAGTACGTGCTGTTGCCGTTCACACCGTTTGCCTGGCCCTCGGTGACGTTGCTGAGCGCCTCGTCTGCGCGTTGCAGGTCACCCTCGCTCAGGCTCTTCGAGTGCCCGCCCCCAGACGTGCTCGCGCTACTCATGAGCGATCCCGCATGCAACCGCACCTTCATCACCAGCGGGCTGCACATCGAGAACGCACGATGGTCAGTCAAAATTGACACAAGAGCAAATCGGACGCGGCACGTACAACGGGTATTTGTCCTCGTCGTCGTCCTGCGACGGCCAGTTCATACTGCGGTAGTCGCTCGTGTTGAGGCTCTGCATCTGTGGTACCCCATCAGCGGATGTCCCGCAATGCGCGAGGGACCGAATAAATACGCACCTCCTCCGTGAGCGTGCCGAGGTCGCCCGGGGTCGCGATGCCCGACATGTGGAAGCGCGGGCTTGCGGGGACGCTGATCGGCAGCGTCATGCGCTCCATGCTGAAGTCGACGAGGCCCTCCTCCTCCTCGTCGCCCGCGCCGTAGAACTCGTCCGGGTACGCGCGCCGGAGCGCGAGCTGCCGCCCCTTCGAGTACTCGATCCCGAGGTTCTTCCAGTCGAGCAGCGGCGAGAGGCGCTCGACGCGGTTGCGCTGGTTGATGCGCTGCCGCCGCGTCTTCTGCGAGAACGAGAACATGTGGTCCGTGAGCTGGTTCACGGAGTCCTCGACCGACTGCGAGCGCCGGTCGACAATGTAGCAGCCCTCGTCCTGCGGGCGCTCGATCAGGTCCTGCATGAAGCATCCGAACCCGGACAGGTTGGTCGTCGCTGACGGGATCCCCATCTACAACCGATGGAGTGAGTGCAGTTCGGTGACGCGATATCATGGTGTACATACAACCGTGCACTCCGCTGGGGTGTACCCCCAGGGCTCGCAGTAACTCGGGAATACGCCGAGATGGCAGCCGCGCACGAACTCCTCGTAGTCTAAGCCCAGGATCGGGTGGAAGACGATCTTCACGCGTTCCGACGACGAGTTGAAGAGCTGCACGCGGCGGATCTGGTTCAAGATCGGGTCGTTCGCGTCGTCCGCCATGTTGTGCATCGTGATGGGAGGGAGCGCGTTGCGCTTAAGTGCGAAGATGCGGCGCTTCAGGAGCACCTTGTCTTCGTCCGATAGCAGGTCGTTGGGTGTCGGGAGTGTTCCATGCTCACTACAAGACGTGAGCCCACAGAGCGTTCAGAGCACAGAGACGAACGCGCCCGTTGGAGCTCATAGCGTGCTCGAATAGACGAGCACCTATGCGGTTCTGGATTTCGGTCACGGTATCGTGGAGCTGTTTCGTGACAGCCTGGCCCTTGAGCGCGTCGACGGTATACAAGTGGGTTGTAGCGGGCATGATGATGAACGCGATGACGGTGACTTTAGAGCCCGACTTCTTGAGGCGGAAGTTGAGACCTGAGCGAATCTCAGTATACGTACAGTACAGCGATAGGGAGAGCACGTACGTGCCAAGGACTCGATGAATATGTCCACACCCTTGTTCCGGTACTCGTAGCGACCAGCAGTGAACATCTGTGGGAGAGTCAGTTATCTCTCGCGATTCGGGAGCCACGGGACGCACGTAGAGCGTGTTATCGAGGTCAAAGTCGTAATGACCGTAGAAGTGGCCGCGCACGAAGTCGTTAATCTTCGCCTTCGCGGTAGAGTGCAAGTTCTGGAACTCGTGCATAGCCTGGAATTTGACGATGTTGAGGCCGTTGGGAAGAACTCCATCGGGCTTGCGCTTGAGTAAGTGCTCGCTCTCGTACGTGGTGATGTGCGAAACCGTCGTGAACACGTCCGCACAGTGCGCCGAAGAGCGTTCGATGCAGTACCGGTGGTAGATACCGCGCTTGCCCGCTTCGTGGTCGACATCGAAGTACTGCAAGTTATTGTAGAAATCGACAGAGCCCGCGCAGAGGTAACGTCCGAGCAGGGTCGCGTGGGTGGTGAAGACAGTGGTAACGTCGATATGGCGCTTGCGGCACAGGGGGATCGCGAGACCGGCTTGCCACTCGTGGAAGTGCGCAATGATGGCCTTGTCCTGTTGCCGGGCAACGTACTGTGAAGAGAGGGCGTCAGATAAATGAGCGATTAAATCGAGGGTGCCACAGAAGCGTAAGTGAATGTCAATTGCGAAGCAGGCGGCGGGTGGAGTGCTACACTCTCGGAAAGCGTCCCGCAGCGCGAAGTGCCCGATACAGTATATCTCACATCGACTCCTCGCACGGTGATGATTCTAGAAAATAGCGGGGCTGACGTGCGCCTCCTGGTTGAAGTGTTCGCCGTTGCCAAAGACTCAGAGCCCGCGCTGCGACGGGAGGGTGGTTCGGAAGGAACTCGACGAATGAGGGGGCACGGGTTCCGTCGTGCGAGCGCGGAGGCTCTCCGCTCGGGTCTTGCGCGTAATGGTGTGTCATAGTCGCGTCGCAGCGCGCGTCCATGGAAGGGCGCGCTCCCACCAAGCTTGCGGGAGCAATCTGCTTCTCCTATAACGTTAGGCGTCGCGCCTGTCGGGGAACAGCGCTGCGTCTGTGCTGAGCTACGCTCCGGGAAAGGGAGACGCGCATCCCTGGTCGGATCTCCTTCACAAGTTGAAATAGCGATGGAACGGACATCCCGCGACTGGGAGCGGTCGGAAGCGAGCGACGCGTAATGGCCCCAGGCACGAACGTTCGTGTCGCGCGAAAGCAAAGAAACACAGGAAAAAAAGCAAAGGACGTACATCGCCGAGGAACCACGCTACGATGTAGCCAAAGACAATCGTCTCGTTCGTTTCGTGGTCGTTGGGCGGAGTGGGGATGCCCGCGAGGTTCCAGAGATCGCCCTTCCACTCGTCGAGGCGCGAGTACTGGCTGCCGGTGTCGAAGAGCAGCACGTTCGGCGCACCCTCAATGAGCCAGCGTCCGTAGAGGATCTTGACCCCGGCGGCGCGCATGCTATCGAGGGTCGCGGCGAGGTAGGGGTCCTTGGGCTCCTGGGCCTCGACCTCCATGGGGGCCATCTTGTAGGAGAGGGGGCCGATGAGGGTGTAGCGGTCGGCATGTTCGGAGACGGTGACGGGGACCTTCGTCTGATGACGGTGTAGATGCCGCCGACCTTGTTTTAACCTCCCAGGCGCATTCGAAGAGGAGGGGATTGCGGACGTCGGGCTTGACTTCTGACATGGTGCAAGACGCGTCGAGAGGGTGAGGACGGGTGAGAGTGTGGGGAAGGTCGATGCGGGGCGGGGGTATGTAAGAGGCGGGGGAGTATGGAGCGCAGTAGTGGACGAGGCCAAGAGTCGAGCGAGGGATGGGGAGAAGACAGACAGGCCTACCCTGCACTCGCAGACGTCATAACACGGCACGTGGGCTAATCTTTCCCATTTACGGCATCTCTCCTACAACATAGCACGGAAAACATACCCAGCTCGGGCTTGACGATCTGCCGGGCGAGGCTGATCGTCCCGCCAGGATTACTCGGGACTCTAGGTACAGCTCTACGTACGCACGCCCAACGTGTCTCGGCCCCCCTCCTCCCGCCTACGGCCCTCACGCCGACGGTCCTTCCGCCGCGTCCTTTGCCCGCTCGAGCAGCGACCACTTTCCAAACAGAAGGCTAAGCAAGGCAACAGCCGCGATCAGCACTTGCTG